ATATGTATAGGTATATATATATATATATATATATATATATATATATGAGAAAAATGAGTATGCTTGGTACCAAGCACAAAAAGTTATGCTTGGTAGTGAGGTGGCATAATCTCCTCCACTCATTCAAATAGTTACATATCCCCATGCACACCTCAACTCATGTGAATGTGGTCCCCCATTTGAATGAGTGGAGGTGATTGTGTCACCTCACTACCAAGCACAAAATATGTGCTTGGTACCAAACATACCCATATTCCTCATATGAGAAAAATGGGTATGCTTGGTACCAAGCACAAATTTTGTGCTTGGTAGTGAGATGGCACATCCCTCTCCACTAGGGGTGCCAAACCGTATCCGTATCCGAGGAAATATCCGTAACCATATCCGTTAGGATACGAATATGGTTACTCAAATCTATTACCGATAGGATATGGTTGCGGATATGATTTTGTTGTGAAATATCTGTATCCGTATCCGAAAATATCCGAATACATATTGGTAATACTCTTACGATAGTTTCAATTCTTAGATTATGGATTTGTGGTTAATTTTGATGATCAAGATGTCTAATCTTAGCTTTTCAATCATAATGAACACATTAACGAACTCTTTTTGTATCACATGACTATATTTTTCTAAATACTATCTAGTTTTCTCATATCATTTTTGTATCAACAAGCATATCCGTTTATATATCTGCATCTATATCCGTAACCGTATCCGATTTTGGCAGATATGGATATGAATTTTTCTTACCGACGTATATCCGTATTCGTATCCGTATCCGAGATGGATAAGCGGATATGGATATGGTAAGTGCCATAACCCGAGCCGTATCGCGCTCCGTTAACACCCCTACTCTCCACTCATTCAAATGGGGGACCACATCACATGGGTTGAGGAGTGCATGGGGAATATGCAACTATTTGACTGAGTGGAGGGGAATGTGATACCTCACTACCAAGCACAACTTTTTATGTTTGGTTCCAATAGCATACCCATCTCTCTCTCTCCTCTCTTCTCTCCTCTCTCTCTTCTCCTCTCCTCTCTCTCTCTCTCTCTCTCTCTCTCTTCTCTATATAATATATATATATATATATATATATATATATATATATATATAATATAATATATATATATAGTATAACACATATTCATTCAAATACAACCATGCTACACTGAAACTTTTAAAACTCATGATCCCTAACAAAGCAAGCATATTGCACTTGTTATGGGAAGAAAAATGCACTGGCAGACTCACAATACCTCTCTGTGTGTACGTGTCTAGATATGTGTAAAGATGTGTGAGCGCGCGTATGCAGATAGATATCATCAGACCTTCAATTTGGATGCATTTAAGAAAATGTAAAGATCGAAGGTGATCATTATAAAAGCAATATACCCAATTTTATTTTGGTTGAAGAATCTTTGGAGATGGGAACAAGCAAAAAAATTAGTTTGAATATTCTGCCTAGCAGTGGAGCTGCTAATAATCCAGATCCATTTTGCCTATATTCCCAAGAGAGAGAGAGAGAGAGAGAGAGAGTTGTAATGAGCAGTGGATTGTATATTGATGTTTTCAAACACAGTAAGTAATCTTTTACTCAAGCTGCTCTAGCGTGCTATTCAATTCATCTACAGTATGAAGATTATTGTACTTTGTCAATGTCAAGTAACTGCATATGAGTTTTCTGTTTCTTACATTAAAGTACTATCTTCTGCCAATGTCAAGTAACTGCATATGAGTTTTCTGATTCTTACATTGAAGTACTATCTTCCCTTTAACTAAGGGTAAAATATTCAATGCGAATTAATGTCAAAAGTAATCCAGGGAAGTCGCTCTCATGTTCAAAGGAGACCAAAAAAGATCCAAGAGTATAGAACTTCACCTGATCAATAGATCCCCTCATTCTATCCTCATATATCATCCGTGAAGCTATCTTTTCAGCCTAACAAAAACAGTAACCCATAACAGTCAGGTATGTCATCAAGAGAGGCAATAGAACTTAAAAGACAAAATAGGCAGCTGAGCAAAGACTGGAAAATTGTATGTATGAAGTATAAAAGGAAACTATGTAAGTATATATTGTCTTTGTACTAAACTTTACAGTTAACACAGCATTATCAAAAAATACACTGTGCCCTCATTCCCAACACAGAGAAGTCGCTGATGTAGAGATGAGCTTGATAATTTTACATTACCAAATGGCAACATTCTAGGATAAATAACTTCCTACTTTTCTAGGGAGCAGGAACTGTACCATCCTAATTCTCAATATTAGAACAGAGGGATAAGAAAATGATAAGCTATTGGCATGTAGTGTAAAAAGAAATCACAAAAAAGCCCAGCCTTGAAAATAATATCCGCGAAATGCTTGTCCAGAAAAACATTGAATCTTGCAAGTGAGACTTAGCATATCCTCCCGAAGCTAAAGTTTAGACCATTTATGTAGCATCAATATACATAAGTATTCCATATTTAGAAGGAAGATAAAAATGAGTCGAGAAGGTACCTTTTGAGGAGCAATACCTAGTAAAGCGCCTAGTTCTTCAAAGCTGCTCAAGCAGAAGTTCCCAAACTAAGATAAATAAAGCTACGAGGGACCACTAGCAAAATAGATATTTTTATTTTTATAACCAACCTTATATTTGTATAAAGTTTGCTTGCACTCAAAAGATTATGCTCGATCATTGCACGATCCAGGACAGTGAAATTATCTGGTAAAAGAGCTTTCTGTTGGAAAACATAACTTGTCAGTATAAAAATAGCACATAACAAAAAATTGCAGCAGAAAATACACACCTGGTGAGCTTTCAGTTCTTCAGCAAATGCATCAATTTCTGGCTTTCTCAAGATTCTTTCCAAGTACACCTAAAATAATTCATCAACAAGGCCTTATTTCAGAAAAAGGGAAATAGTAGACTTCAAAACAACTTCCATAAAAGTGGTAAATAGAGTTTTCTGTAAAATTATCCTTCTTGATTTGTAATCTAAACACATTTTCTGTGCAGAAAGCCAAAAGAATAAAATTGCACATGGATTTTTTTTTTCAAATGTCTTGTCTAAGCATTTTTGTTGCTGAGTAGATTGTTTATAATTAAAGCATAAACTTCAGCAAGTTTTAAACAGGAAAGTTGAGTTAAAAATCTGAAAAGAAACAACATGTGCTTTAGGGACACAAATTATGCTCAATTCTAGACAAAAAGCAACTCCAAGCCTCCACTCTTTCAAGACAGAGCCACTAAGATTTGAAGACTTCTAACAAAAACGAGGATGAAAGTCATAATAGAAGCAGATATCTACTAGCTTCAATAGGTCTATGTATGTCCATCATGCACAAGGTCAGAAAGAGTGAAACCAACCAATAATGAGAAAAGGGCATATTAAGGAAGCGATCAAAGTCTAAGAACTATATTATTTAGTAACCTCTGTACAATGGTTACGAGGAATGTTGTGGGCAAAAATGGCTATGTAGAACATTACTATTTAAGGAATATGGTACATTTTGGATGCTTCATTGGACATTTTAGTTGGAATCAAATACAGTTAATGAATGGAATGAATTTTATAGTATATTGAAGGGGTTACTTAATTCTTGTATGTATGTGTCTCCATTATTGTAATAATAAAATCTAAGTTGCATGTCTTGTTCTTTGCCACTATTCCCTCTTCTATCAAAAAAAGGAAGTTTGACGTGGGGCGTTCTTATTGTATGTCTTGCTCCCACCCCACCCCACCCACCGCCCCACCCCCCAGTTCACTAATAACAGAGAAAATCTAAGTTGCATGTCTTGTTCTTTGCCACTATTCTCCTCTTCTATCAAAAAAAGGAAGTTTTGACGGGGGGTCTTTTTGTATGTCTCTCCCACCCCCCCCCCCCACCCCACCACCCACCCCCCAGTTCACTAATAACAGAGAAATTACAGAACCTCGCTACCAATTAATGGAAAGACCCATATTAATACAAGGAAATAAAAAGTTGTCAAAGATCTAGAATGCTAATACCAAAATTCCAAATTGCCAGTGTTTCACAATTAGAAACATGGATCCCAGATTGCCGATTGCAGATTTAAGTAATCTTCTGGTGAGACATGCAAGCTATGAAGCACGGACACGGACACGGCGACACGGACACGACAAAACCCAAAAAAATAGGACACGGCGACACGGCTAGATTTTTTAAATATTATTATTATATATAGATCAATATTGAATTAAATTCCTATTACATTTTTATATTTTTTTTTTGTAAAATGGTGATTATAAATAAGAAACTAAAGAAAAGTGTGTGTTGCAGGTGTGAATTAAGATGTCGGAATGACAATGATCTCTTAGAGAATTGAAGACAATAATATTAAAGAAGTCAAGAAAGAGAAGATTAATATATAGAAAAATAGATTAATTTTTTTTGTTATATTATTATGTAACATTGGCTTGTATAATCAATGACAAACGTAAGTTATGTAACTGATTTGAAGATAATACCAAATTTTAATTTTTATTACTTTCATCTTGAGCATATCAAAATACAAGAGAATAAAGTTCAAGTTGCAACTAGTTCCATGACTACAAAATACTAAGTTACTAACATTGCAAAAATTACAACCAAAAGTGTATCTTAAAAATAAAGTTCTCAAGTTAAAACATCAAAAGATCATTCTATGGTTTCAACTCCTTCATCCTCCTCAAACACAACGGCCTCCATCGTGGGCTCGTCAAGAGAAAGGGCGGCAACATCTAAAATACCGGCACCTTGAAATGAGTCAAAGGCATCTCCACCAACATCTCACATTCTTGATTCCCCTTCCATATATTTTTCCGAACTTCGAGAAAGTAAGCGAAGATTGGTGTGAACATAAACAAGATCCTCCGCACGTGCCGGGGTTAGCTTGTTCCTCTTTAAAGAGTGAATGAAACCATACGTACTCCAATTTCGTTCACAACAAGAAGAAAAACAAGGTTGGCCTAGAATCTTTACGGCCAATGATTGCAAATTTGGAGTACTTGCACCATAAAGAAGCCACAATGACTTAGGATCCATATGTGCTCTATCGGAAAGAGAATCCGGATCACTAAAAGCCTCCAAAACGCCCACAAACTTAGCATATTCCAAGTTCACCGCCCGTCGTTCATCGGGGTTTGGATAGTATCTTCTTAAACACTTTGCTCTTTCCGTAGAGATCTCAAGATCTTAATTTGGAGCTTGCCGATTGACGTTCTCATTGAGCCATGTGGAATGATAGTACCTATGTTCGTTAATAACATGAATTAGCCCACAAAGTATTAAGTAATAGAAATATTCACATTAAAGAGTGAAATGTAAAATATTACTTTGGAACTAAAGAGTGTGCCAAGCACTGAAGCGAGGTGTTGCTATTGTTCCATCGATCCACCAAGATCTTGTGAACCACCTCATAAAAAGGAGATTCCTCGTTATCCCTTTTACCCTCATGCCTATAAATAGCTTGCTTCACATTCTCAATCATTGTATCCCACATATCATACACTAAATAAAGACATGGTGTATCGGTGTCGGTGACCCTTATCATTTCATAGATTGGGCCAGTGAAGTAAAGAATAAAATCTATCTTGTCCCACCACAAATCATCGAGGACTTTCTCTTTCACAAATTGAGCTTTCCCCACATCATCTTCTCTATACAAGCTCCATCGATCATTAAGGACCATGTCTTAGAGGCCTCTCTTGACGATCTTAAACCTCTTCAACATAATAATCCACGAGGCAAATCTTATGTCGGTAATCAATAGGAGCTTCATCTTGGAATAATCATTAAACCTGGAAAGCCGCATAGAGTGATTCATGATAAAATTCTTCATAAATAATGCATCATCGGAGATCTCTGTAATCCAATGTAATTGTGCATAAGCTACGGCATTTGCTTCCGTGTTCTTAACCGCACAAATATTCTTGATAGCAAGATTGAGTGTATGGACTACACAAGGAGTCCAAAATATGTGAGGTCAGGTGCCCTCCACAAGCCCTTCCGCGACCTTGCATGTCGAAGCATTATCGGTTATGATTTGGATGATATTTTTTTATCCCACCTCTGTGATACATTTTTCTAGTTGTGCTTGGATAAAATACTTATTCTTGATTTCACCATCGGAATTCACGGCATTCAAGAACATTGGCTTACCCTCACATACCGTCATAAAATTGATGATGGGCCTCCTCTGTGCATCCGCCCACCCATCACTACAAATGGAGATCCCCTTCTGTTGTCATGTGCCCCTGATGGGCTCCATCAATCTCTCTACGTGAGTTTTCTCACGTTATAAGATAGTGGTCCTCATAGAATTGTAACCGGGAGGCTTGTAGCCAAAGATTAGATTGCTTGCGGCATATGCAAAAGCCTTGGCATAATATGGATTCCTTGTCAAGTTGAAGGATAATCCCTCGGTGTAGAACATCTTACCAATCAATGCATCCAATTCCTCCATTGCTCCCATATTGAATGCTTGTTTCACGGTATTAGGCCCCCTCCTCCTCTTAGATTCACCTGCACTAATCGGCATGTTTACACTTGCACCTACACCGATCGTACTTGCAGTCGAAGATATAGACAAAACTGGCATCTTAGGCCTAGAAGCCCTCAACCTCGCTTCCGCTTGATCCAACATCCTTTGAAACTCCCTTAGATTTTTGGGTGTTGACTTGGAACACATCTTAATTCCGGTCCCGCTTCTCCTCAAGAGGTGATTTTTAACTCTTGAGTCTGAACCGGTAAAATCCTCTCTGTAATAATTACATCTTCATCTCCAATTTCCTCCTGCCATTCCCCCCTTTTCTCCAATTTGGTAACATATTTTCAAAGCGAACATTTATCATCTTGTACTCCACTGCCACTAGAACTCTCATCTTGTTCCATTTCTGTAAAATACAATAGCAATAAAATAAATTAAAAAATTAACATTGACTAGAAATTAACATTAACTAGGTAAATTAAAATAGCAATTATTCCAATTCTCCAAGTTCATTGACTGTAATTAATTAACTATAAATTAACTGTATATTGACTGTAATTAATTATCTATAAACTAAAATAGCAATTATTCCGTTTCTCCAAGTTCATGATTAGGTAAATTACATAGCAATTAACATTAACTTTGACTGTAAAATAACAATTAACATTAACATTAACTATAATTTAACAGTGACTATAATTAACGGTGAAATTAACTACTGTACTTAACTACTGCAATTTAACAGTGACTTTAATTAATCAGAGAGATAAAAACAAACAGTGAAATTGACTACTGTAAGTTACATTGGAGAGAGAGAAAGGGAGATTACATCGAAGAAAGAGAAAGGGAGAGATAAAAAGAGACAGAGAGAGGGATCGGAGATCGAAAAAAAAAGAGAGATTGGAGAGGACGACTGAGAGAGAGATCGGAGAGAGACTGAAAGAGATCGAGAGAGAGGAGAGAGACTAACCGTTAGGGTTTGGGTTGTTGAGAGGACGACGAGGACGATCGAGGCTTGCAGCTGCGAGGACGATCGAAGCTGGTAGCCGACGAGGACGCTCGAGGACGACGAGGACGATCGAGAGAGATGGCGGCGTTTGCTTCTCAGTCGCGATCGAAGAGAGAGCTGAAGAGCCGATCGGGTAAGTTAAAACTAGGGTTAGGGTTTGGGTTTGGGTTTGGGTTTGGGTTTCGGGTTTCGGGTTTACTGTTTTTCTTTTTTCCTTACCTCTCAGCCGTGTCGGGAGCGAAATGAGCGTGTCGATGGCGTGTCCGCCGCGAGTCGTCGGCGTTGACCGTGTCGGCGCCGTTGATGACGTGTCTGACGCGTGTCGAACGCGTGTCGAACGCGTGTCCATCTCCGACAAGCGTCGGACACGGACTCGGGGGCAGTTTGCAAGAGTCGGTGCTTCATAGCATGCAAGTATAACCATGGTAGTCTCATTTTTGCCAATTTCAAGTTAGTTTGGCTTTTAAAGTAATTCCACAATGATCAGGAGATGAATGTCTATGACAGCATATTTAGGTCAGAAAGCATAAAGTGGAAGTTCAGAAGGCTAATCTAAAACTCACATGTGCATAAAAGGGAAGAGGAGGGTGAATACCTTCTGTAGAATGGGGTAAATTTTCAACTTTGAGCATCTCTCATCCTGATAATAAAACATCAATAAGTTCAGTTCAAATAATGAATTATTCTTTGAGAAAAACATACAAGTCTATAAATTAAAGGTTTATCAATATAATTTACTGCAGAACTCTCACGAGCTCAACAGTTCTAAGAACGTACACGTCACCACAGCTCAGATACATACACATGCACACAAACAAGACATAAAAGGGATAAAGCAAAAGGGAATAAAGTAACTCAAAGTTTGAGAACTGACTTCATCAGGCATCTATTAGAAAGAGCTGCAACTGTGAGAATACTAGTGCTTGCCATGCAAACTTCGATTTTATCATAAGCTTGAGAAGTGAAGCTAATCAGGCATTTATTAAAAAAATGATGCAAATATGCAAGCAACATAAAGAATCTATCATGCATCTATTACAAAAAGATGCAGCAATGAGAACCCTAAAATCTGAAATAAAATATAGGCATATGTTTAAGGAGTGTGAAGTGTAGTATATATGTCCAATTGTATGACATGTTTTAAATTCAAACATGTAGCGTATAATTGAGCGCACATCTGAAATCTAAATAAAAATGTATGCATATGATTAAGGAGTGTCCATGAAGTGTCAAGTACGCGTACGCCGCATGTCGGGTATGGGTATGACTTCATGATAGAAATGCCCCGGTAACATAGGTTATTGAACAAGATTCACATCATCAGTTCTCTGTCCTCTTCCTTTAGATATGCATTGTTGATATTAGAATTGTAACAAAATCACTAGAGCAGCTGGTGTAAATGTTCCTGTTAAGGACATAAATACATGTTTTACGATATCAAGGTGAAAGAAACTAGAGAGAAATAGCAAAAGCTACACCAAATAAAGGGGAAAAATAACCCTCACAAAGGGACCAGTATAACAAACCAATACTTTCTGATTAATGGAGCATTTGGATTCAATCTCAAATATTTGTTTGAAATTACTAAGTAAAATATCCAAAAACATCACGAAGAAAGAAATAGATTTCCTACCAGCAAGTGAAAGGTCGCGAGAAATCTAAACAAAAATACAACTCATTGAGATTTTCTCTCAAAAGATTTTGGTAAAAATGGTGGATAACTACTGCAGCCTTGATGGCATTGTTTTCTACATCAGTTGTTACAGCCTTTTATAAAACTTGCTACAAAACGATATGATCTCAATATCCTTTACCGCTTTTCGGATATTTTTGGGCGATATATCCCCAACGTGACCAACATCAGCCAATATGTTGCCGTATATATCTTTTTATGTGGCTTATCATAAAACGATATAGTTTTATAATTTTTTTATGCTTTTTAGCCAAAAATATATACTCATTTAGCAAATTCTAGTAGGGTCTCTTCCCTAAACAAGTTTTTCGAATGGGTTTTTTCGATATTTGTCCCCTAAATATTTTGATTGTAGTCCCTTGAATCTTCACATTTTAACATTCGTCCCTCAGATTACCATGATGTGTTGATATTAATTCTTGTGCTAGAATTACTATTAAAAAACCTAACCCATGGTTGCGTTTACCCTAACCATGGTTGGCTAATTACCAAAATGCCCTCACCAGTTTAATTCACCCACCCAAGCGTCATTCCCTCTCTTACAGTTCCCACTCTGCTCTTGAGAAAGGGGTTGCTTTATTGTTAGGGGGAAGAAGGTAATTGGTTTTGGGTTTCATTAAACGGGTATGGAGTGGGGGGGGCTCTTAATGGGTTAGGGTTCAGAAATTGTGGGTTTGGGTTTGTAGGTGAGGACATAAATGTCCACTAATGGGTGGAGTTAAGAGAAAACAAAATATTCCTCCAAAGCTGTAACACCAACTAACTGCAGGGACTACTATCAACACATTATGGTATTTTGGATGACTAATATCAAAATATGAAGATTCGAGAGACTAATATCAAAATACTTAAGATTAAGGGACTAATATCGCAAACACCCTTTTACAATTGGTTTGTGATGCTAAACATATATTATTTTTGTTTTATATGCTTAGATTTCATTAAGTATGCTTGGATTACATTTTAGAACATTATTTTATATATGTACCTCATTTGATATGGCACTCCGATATTTCCTACACATCTTCGATATTTCCCTGATATTCGCAATTCGATATGGATTTTGGACTTCCGATATTTTCCCGATATCGGATACTTAAAATCTTGCTTGATGGAACTTCAGAAGTAGTCCGCTTCAAAGAATTCAGTTGTTTGCTGAGTACTTTGAAAACTACCAGGAAAAAGCTCTCAACATTATTATGGAGAAGGAAAAATGTTACAAGCAATCTAAACAAAAGTACAACTCCATAGATACACCTTAACTTACATCTTTGATGGGCACTCGCATTGAAATTAAACATATTACAATGACTTAGCACCAGTTAAGAATCATGTAATTCCTAATAAGCAGAAGTGTCATATGCATAAATACAAAACATTCAGCTACATTAAATTTTGCTAACCTTAGTCAATAGAAAAGGAAACAAGCCAATCAAGCAAAAAACTTACAAATTTTAAATATCGGCTTATGATTATATTGAAAGCATTAATTAAAGCAAAGGCATTAATATTGGTATATGAAGATTGGTTTAGTTCAATGACTACCTTGTATAGAGTAGCTAAAACACGTGACCGCTGGGGACCTGCTGCAGCCAATATCGTGCAGGTTACAGCAGCACTTAGAGCTTGCTCCAATGCCTCCTCATCAATCTCCCTAATATTATTAAGTATTAACATGATAAATCGTTAAACTAAACATATTACCCAAATATTGAATATCTAGCAGAAAACCCATGTGATAAACCATGACAAGCACATGCAATTTGCTGAAAGTAGAGTAGAAACTCTATGGATGTATCAGTTCATACACCTGCGAACCTATGGGTGTCTACCGAAGTTGACAGCTCGTATCAGTTAGCTAAACCTTCCCGGAAGTTTGTTCAGTTAAAGAATTGCTCAAGTTCAGTCCCAGGAACACCACTAAGAAAGTAATAACACCTTGTTTGGCATGTGGGACTCGATTCAAGTGAGAATGGGATGAAGTAAATGTGAGAATGGAACGCTCATTATCATTCTCACGTTTGAGTGATATTAGTCATTAGGGAATGATGCAGGAATTGGGGCATATTTGAAATTTATTTTATTTGGTTTCATTCTCACTTAACGGGAATCCCCCATTCCTAAACAACTCACTGGGAATGCTCATTCCCACATTGGAAATAAGCATTCCTAGGGAACGGAGTTTCTCACTTCCAAAACATGTAGTGTTCACTGCTTAGGAGCACTGTTTGGTACTCCTAAATGGGAAGTGGTAATGAGCATTCTATTCCAGCCAATTCAGGCATACCATACTAGGCATAAATGTTAAGGAGATCCCCCCCCCCTCCCCACCACCCCCCCACCCCCTCCCCCACCCCACAAAAAAAACCTGTTGAACTAACTGCAATTGGATATAGGTGTCAACATGAATATGCTTACTCATCTCCAATTTGGCGTTTCTCAATCTGAGAAATATCATAATAACGAAGTGCAGCTTCCAGAAATTTCCGCTTTAGATCTAATATCCTTGCATAGCAAACCTGCCAAGAAATATCAAGATGAGAAAGTTCAAAAGCTGCAAATTATAGACGCTGGTTTCTATTTAAAGAATTGTTATTGCTCCAGAATTATGCCTTCACCTTGTACTGTAAATTAAGAACTTCATGATGACTATTGCTAACCAAAAAGGAAGCTTTGTTGATAAAAGCCTCTGCATTGACAGCGTCATCATCCTTGGGAATGAAACAAGCAGTTAGTGTTGGCATGACACCTTCTATTCAGCAAAAAGATTAAAAAGAACATTTGAAACAGTTTCACAGACCTCGAGATAGAGACGAGCAATTTGGACACACTTGGACAGTTTATATGTCTCGTCAAGCATCCTAAAAACAGACAGTTCAGAATATAAAGATCTCAAATGAGGTTTCTTTGAGATTTCATGTGCAAGACAACTAAAGAAGCAATCTCTACCTTATCCCTGAGTCCAGGTCAATCCCACTTAGCATCTGAGCTGCTTTAGACCATTGCTGCTCAGATTCATACAACTCAGCAAGCTTCTCTCGAATGATCAAAACCTGCATTTATTCAAAGCAGATAAAATGTTTTCAATTTTGAGTGGAGGATAATATTATAATAACTATTATTATCATTATTATTATTATTATTCCACGAAGTAGTTGCAGAAGAAGCGATAAATTACGAAGATCGGTAAAAAATGGTGTAGAGCATGACCAAGTAGCCAAGGCAGAAAGGACATTTTTATATATTGTAAAGATTGGCAAATTTGCAGTGCAGGTGTTATGAAAAAACTTTGGAGGGAGAATAACAATTAGTATGGCTAATTTGAAGTGTGTTTATTTAAGTACATACTGAAAAGGGTAAATAGTGTGTCAGCTTACTGATGGAAATATAAGAAGAATGACCCTGATAACATTTATTAAAAGTAAAAGACAAATGAACCCTATATCTATATGAAAGCAAAGTTATTTCATATCTTTTTAATGAGAAAACCTAGGAGCACTTAAGACATAAGCCGATAAACCTATGAGTATAATCAAACCAATTAGGAGTCAGGAGTCTAGAGCCCACTAATTAAATACCCAGTACATTGTATATTATAAGAGATATAAATATGAAATGGTAAAGTTCTTTTCCAAAAAATGGATATAAATAAATATAATAGAAACAACGATTAGAAGTCAATATGTTCCAATGTAAATATTATCAAAAGTTCTAAATACTTTAAAAAATATTAACTATAATAATCTGAAGATAAAATATGAAAAAAGGCTCGATCTTAATGACATTATCTACAAAAATTACGTCATCACATTAAAGTGAAATATAAATCATAGACAGCTTCAAATAAGGTAAATAAAATATCGCATATCAAATGAAATTTCATATCATAAAAATATCTTCAAAAGTCAGCAATACTTATTAAAGTCACCCATTTTACATAAAATTTAGTATAATTAAGATTTAATGTCTGACGCACGTGCATTTGCACATGCAATAATGCTAGTAACAATGGCAAACATTAAGGCAATAGAAAGGAAAATGGATAAGAATAACAAGATTCTTGAAACTGACCACAAAAATGCCAATGAAGGATTCGTGCTAATGATGATAATGTGCAGTCACAAAATGAATACTGCATCAAGGTTGAGATCAGAATTCTACAAAGATATGGAACGTTCTGGAGTTGTATGGAAAAAAATGCGAACATGCATAGCCAAAGAAATTTTTTGTTCAATCAAAACAATATGAACGTATTATGTGTTGTATTGACCAAAAAAACGCAAATGAATGACTGTAGCTAATGACAGTAATGCGCAGTCACAAATTTGATGTTGGGAATTGTGCAGCAACTTTGAGAATGTCGGAATTCTGAAAGGATATGGAAGATTCTGGAGTTATACGGCAAAAACCGGAACATGCATGGTCAAAGGGTTTTATATTCATCAAAACAAAATGAAACTACGAAACCATTACACGGTTTTGGGATACTACAGTGGTTGTATTGCTCCCTCCTCATAGGAAGACCTTTGTTACACTCAAAATGGCTTATTATAATTCTACCTTTCTACTATGTAAAAAATCATGAATTCAACTGGATAAACTTATGAATCATGTATTTGGTTGACTAAATATTCACCTATTACATCTCACATTAATTGCATACAACTTGCAAAAACACAATTTATTATTATATTTCAACTAATGTTTACAAGGCAAAAAAAATTGAAACCACTGAGAACCAAAACAACATCCCCCTTATGAGTGGATGCTATAAACAGTGTGGTATTACTACATAATGTTGCCATTTTATTTTATAGTACGTATTATGTGAAGTATCTTATTACTATGCATGCTCTAAATTTTTGTAGAACAACCATAGACTGTTCAAATCTTTTCTGGATCCCAAACTCCTCACCTTGCTAAATTATTCCCAACATCCAAGTTTGTGATTATGCATGTATAGTCATCAGCTATAAAGCCATCATTGAAACTTTCCCAATAGTCTAGGAATTTTGACTACTATGATGAGTGCAGTGCTAAGTTGCATGGAAACAGGCACGGGTACTGGTACGGGTGCGGGTGCGAGTAGTGGACACGGCAAAACTGTAAAATATTGGGTACGGGGACATGACTACATATATATATTAAATTAATAATGTACATGAGATAAATTTTTTCCACTTCATGTGTCATTAGAATTAAAATTTCGATCACATTTTTTAGTTTATTTTATCATATTGATTATCGTGAATTGTAAACTACTCATTTTTTTACTAAACATCTAAACGACCCATTAACTATATAGTTTTGAACTTGGGTATGGACTCTATATAGTTTTGAACTTGGGTATGGACTGAAACGAACCCGACCCATATCCCATTAGTTTCAAAAGACAGATGTGAAGTGTAAGCTCTACGTCTAGGAAGTCTTTGACAAGTGTTTTAAATTAACACATATATCGTCTGATTGAGTACATGTTGTAATAATGCATGAATATATTCAAGAAGTGTCCATGAAGTTTGGATACGGGAAAGTACCGGGTACGTGTCCGGTACGGGTACGGCTTCAATAATGAAGTACCTGGGTAACATAGGTGCAGTGTATATTTTATCACCTTGAGATACACTGATCGGAAAACAAATAGAACAAAATATGGCATTTCTAAAACACTTGTGAATCGATTGGACTCTGGATTCGTACTATGTTCGTCTTCAAATGGTGACATACAAGAAGTATATCCAGAGTTCCATAAAAAACTGTAGGCCTGAGGGGTATCAATAAGAAAAGGGGGCGGGGGGGGACAAACTCCAACTACATAGAGAAATCTATTGTGTTCATAACTTTGAGCGAATATTCTACTCTTAGTTCTAGTATAATGTCATTGTGAAAAACATTATCATGAGCCAAGATTTAGAGCAAAAGATATTAGTGTGATCAGCAAAACAAGATGTCCACCTTATCAATTTATTGTCTTTGTCTTTCAAAGCTAATGATAAACATGCTCAATCCCTCATACAATTTTGCATTTGGTATTTTAAGTCTCTATCTTTTCCTACTTTCAAAATACTAACTCACATTCAAACTGCTATTTACATGTTCTCCAACTGGACCTCTTTCTTCGAGAGAGTTGAACGAAATATTTACAACAGTATGCTCAATCCTTTTCTTATTGGAGAGAATCCAAATTCTCAGAAGTTTATAAGGGGCTTCCACTGGTAGATTCTAGCTAGTGATTGCAATGGCCCCGCAAAGGCTAAACTCAGCAACAATCTAATCGACCAGAAATAAGCAAGGAGTAATAGAGACTCAAGCATACAATCATGCTCCTAACTAAGTATTAAAACCAACTAACAATATAGAGTAAATACAAATTTCACCTGCTCCTCAAAAGAGACAACCCTAGGTTGGATCTGAGCCAAAGCGTAATGAGCAATCTCCTTCTGCAAGTCGGCCTCCAATTTCCCAATCTCCTGAGCGAACATCTGAACCAATTGCCTCGACACGACAAGAGGAACATCATCCGAGACCACTAAAACCACAGAAATCGAAAGCCTAAGCAACGATGTTGAAGAAAACCCTAACCCTAGAAACGGCGAGAGAGATGATTACTGTGATCGATGAAGCGTTTGGCCTGGCTGATGTCGGTCGAAGACGAGGCGAGGACGGAGGAGAGGATGAGCTTGTACTGCTCGATCTTCTGCCTCTGGTCTGTGATCGCTGCGGCGCTCGCTAGGGCGCTCTCCATTGTGTTGTTTTTTTTTTTTTTTTTTTTTTGGGTTTTGTTCTTTTTTCTCTATATGGGAAAAAAAACTCTTTTGAAGAGGCAGGACGAGGATTTATGTTGGGGTTTTGGTTCGGTAACGATTAACTTTATTTGTAGAGCTTATGAAGGGTTTTATGTTCTCTCTCTCATTTTCAGGGTTTTTTTTTTCCTTTTTCTTTTTCTTTTTCTTTTTCTTTTTCTTTTAAGTTTTATAAAATATGTTAAATTGGATCAAACTAGTTATTCGCCTACTTTACATCTTTGTAATGATCTATATATAAGAAACTAATATAAAAATATTACACATGTGATGATGACAAGCGGGCAACAAGTTGCGCCGCTAATCCTTTCTGAATTGCAAAACCTAACCTACGAAATACATACTCAGCGGACCCTGCTGTCGCCACATTCTTATTCGCGAATTTCTGAACCCTCCTGAGGAACTCCACCGCATCAGCTGCAAGGAAACCAAACGTGTCGAAAGCGAACGGGATGAAGCTGTGGTGGTTGTCCTTGCAAGCTTGATCATGTTTGCCCACATTGGCCTCTGCCGCTCTATCCGCTGCATGCCCAACCTTGAACTCTCCATTACCAAACCCCACCAACGGAGACACCCCTGTAAGATCAACACAAGCATGCTTCCCCCCGCTCCAACTGTAGACAAGAACGTCTGCCGGCCTTAGAGTAGATCTAGTCTCTCCAGGAGGAGTGAGGAAGTTGACCGGCGCTTCCTTCTTTGATGGGATCCCTGCTCTCTGGAGGATATCAGACAAGACATCTCTGACTAAGTCGTGCCTGTACTTGAACCCCGGCTGCTTCTGACAATGGATGGCATGCTCTCAATCCCTCAATAGGCGTGGCCAACAAGAAATCTTGGGCGTGCTTTGCCCGCAGGCACTCAACAATCGCAACCTGCCTCTCTGAAAGGTCAAACTCCATCGATAGATCTCTACAAATGCCTCCATAAAAGATGTCTGCCAAGTAATACATTGGTTTTAGGGGGACAGACACTTTAGTGGTGATTTGAAGAAGATCAACCTCAGGTAGCTTGGCTTGAAGAGAGGCCCGAGCGGTAGTAAAATGCTCACCTAAAGAGACCTCACCACAACCTCTCAAAATGTGGTCTTGGAGCTCGATGGAGTGAATCCGAGAGGCCACAAAAGAAAACTGTATGGCATCAGCCGCTGCATAGACCCCTAACCCGCCTGCCTTGATAGGTAAAGAGGCCAACTTCCATTGGAGATCCCCGAAGCCTGGGCCTTCGGATGTGACAATGCTCTCGACTGACCTCCGAAGTGCAATATCAAACTGGGTTGCCGCCTGAGCAAAGAGCTGCGGCGGGCAAGCCCTCAAGGTGAAATACAACTTGGACAAACCCGCACAAGCCCTCAAAAGGACGAGCTCGCACTGTGGATCCCTAAGCTGGTCCAACGCTTCCATTAACTGAGTCGCCTTTGCCACCCTCTTTGCTGCTAACCCACCAACAAACCCCTCATCCATGCTAACTGCTCCACCTAAAAGCCTTACTCCATCACGAGGCCGACTGATATTCAAGGGAAAAAGCCTCTCCCGCAAACTTCTAGGATCCGGTGAGGGCCAGAATATTTCAGCTTTGGTTACATTGAGGTCCAACCCGAGTCTTGGGCCTTCAGTCTCGATCACCTTATATGCCTTAGCAATTTCCAAAGTATCCCCGATCAAGGACCCATCGTCCAAGTACCAAGCATGAAGAGCCAACTTGCACTCTTCCTGCACTCGTAGAATCAACGGGTGAAGCGTGAGTGCGAACAACAGAGGCCCTAGCGGGTCCCCCTGCTGGATCCCCCGAGCAGACTAAATGTGATCCACCCCCAAATACAGTCTAGCGGGCTGCACATATAGAAATTCCACCCAAGGAGAGATCGCCGAACACTTAAGGCGTACTTCCCGCAACATACTACTCATGTCGACCAAGTTAAATGCATTCCGAAAGTCGACCAAAAGCATGGACAGCGAGTCATCCGCATGGTGGACATCAACGAACCTATTAACCGCATGCAAAACTGCTTCTACCCCTCCTGAGACTCCCACCCCAAACTGAAAATCTCCCAAATAACTCGCCATGTCATTCCCCTCCTTCTTCATGGCCACTTTAGAGACGAGACGCCTCCAAATGGTACCTACCGCAATCGGCCTTATGCCCCCATCATTCTTCAACAACGGAGTAAGGGGAGCACTAGCAATAAACTCCACCAAGGAGGCCGGACAACGCCCTTGCAACCACAAATTAACCACTGGAGTGAGAGCCGCGAGAAGGTCGTTAGCAATAGTGGACTCCGGACCACAAATAGGGAGTTCAGGCCAAATTTCCCAGAGAGTCGCTCTCTGGGAAATTTACACTGCAACTTCACGGGAGTTGAACTCCCGTGAAGCTGCAGGTTTTACTAAACATGCACAGGCTGCTGTGTTGTGCATGTTTTGTATATGTACCTGTTTTAACTCATATATGTAACTATTTACCTGTTAACAACAACTACTACAATATATATATAATTTAAACACGCACGAATCAAACAATACTCAAAAAGAGTACATATATGAACAATAATTGATTCACAAAAGTATAGTATTTGAAAATTCATAAAAGTTACAAATTTTAACAAAATAAGTTCAAATACAACCCAATATAGCTCATGTCCTTCCTCTCTCTCTCTCTTCCCCCTCCCCCTCGCTCTTCCCCGCCCCCCGCGGTCCTGCTGATGAGCCTTGACTATCTGAGTATCCAGCTGTGTATGAGGCTGAGAAGTGTCGGCTCCATCAGCATGCGAAGTGCCGGCGTCATCGTCACGTGGCCGTCGGCGCTGAGTGTACGCCTGCCCAAACGATCAAGACCTGTCCTCACGGCCTGGGAACTCGTCAACGTGAGACTTATGAAACACATGCGCTATAGTCTTCTTGATCCTGCTGAGGAGTCCTAACGCCACCGAATCCTGAATCTCAGGCACGTGTGTATCAATATCAGCCTCAATGCTATCAAAAGCGCGGACCTGTGAGGTAAACAATTTATTAAGTACCAACTCAATAAAAATGTTATAATTTAACTTAGAAACTTATATAATCTCTCTCGTTCATCCCACTAGGGATGTAACTGTCTGTCGGTGGTCGTGGCATGAGTCCAGCTGATGGCTGTAGGTCACGCGTGATCAATCTACGTGTGATATCCCAATACCAACGCATATACGCGGTATAATCAACAGCTGTGGGTCTCGTATCCTGGATAAAATCCCACCTGTAAGCCCACCTGTCTATGTAGGCCGCACGGACTATGGCCCAGTTGGTACGGTGCGAAGTAGGTCACCGACGACGATCGATCTACTCGAGAAATAAACTTAATCCTCTCTTGTATTTGGTCATAAACTAATTTTTCTGTTGCACAGCCGGCTTGCAAAAGAAGATCTTGAACCTGAATGTTTCCATATTTCTTCTTGAAGTTGTCCCTAATATGTCGCAAGCAATAACGATGTCCATGTGGTAACGGGAAATGTCGTTAGAGTACTCCTGGAATTTCTTTCATCCTATCAGATATGAATGTAATCGACCGTGCCCCCACACTAGGGATATGATATCATACACTACAAGAAATCTGATATTTAACGACCAAAATTAGTGAAGGGACCAGTTGACCGTCATTAATGTGTGTAAAATAACGACGGTTTAAAAGCCCTTCATCTAGTTATCACAATTATTAGAGTAATGATGTGAGATGAGATAACGGTTTTCTAATCCCTTCGTTGATTTGGTTCTAATACCGTCATTATTGGGTCTCCTAAAAGACGAAGGAGTCAATTACCTTTACTAATCATAACTCCTAATCTTAACTGGATTATTATTGAAAATAATATAAAAAACCCAAAACCCAAAACTCCAATTAACCGCAACTAATTATAAACTAAACCCTAATCACAAACTCTATTGCCTATTGTTCATCGATTTCACGCCTCCGCTGCCTCTGTTTCAACTCTTCCCCATCATCTGTTGAAAATCGCTTATACTGTTCATCTTCTCAACTCCTCGCCCGCCGCCCCACAGTCTCTCGCCGACTCGTATCATCGTCTGCCGCTACCTCAGCGCAGCCCTAGAGCCGCCGCCGACCAAGCAAACCCCGCGCAGTCTCGATTCGTGGCCACAGTCTCGATTCGTATCATCGTCTGCCTCGGAGCAACTTCTAGCTCCGCCCCACCGCTGGCTTCGTCCCAAAACCACCACCGCACCGTCCTAGCGCCACCCCAACGCCGCGTTTTCCCCACCGCCGCCTTCAACTCTCCCCAGAACCACCACCGTCCACGGTAAGGAACAAATCCCTGTTTGGTTTAATTTTCACTTAAGTACCTATAGTTTCCCCTACTTTGCAATTAATATACCCTTGTTTTGTTTAATTGCACTAAAGTACCTATAGTTGTATACAAATCCCATCGTCTGTTGAAAATCGCTTATACTGTTCATCTTCTCAACTCCTCGCCCGCCGCCCCACAGTCTCTCGCCGACTCGTATCATCGTCTGCCGCTACCTCAGCGCAGCCCTAGAGCCGCCGCCGACCAAGCAAACCCCGCGCAGTCTCGATTCGTGGCCACAGTCTCGATTCGTATCATCGTCTGCCTCGGAGCAACTTCTAGCTCCGCCCCACCGCCGGCCTCGTCCCAGAACCACCACCGCACCGTCCTAGCGCCACCCCACCGCCGCGTTTTCCCCACCGCCGCCTTCAACTCTCCCCAGAACCACCACCGATATACCTTGCAATTAAATCCCTGTTTGGTTTAATTTTCACTTAAGTACCTATAGTTTCCCCTACTTTGCAATTAATATACCCTTGTTTTGTTTAATTGCACTAAAGTACCTATAGTTGTATACAAATCTTATACAATTTGCAATTAATTCACTGCATATATTCCAATTAATATACCTTGCAATTAATTGCTATAGTTGTATCCAATTAATTCACTGCATATATTCCAATTAATATACTTTAATTTTCACTTAAGTACCTATAGTTTCCCCTACTTTGCAATTAATATACCCTTGTTTTGTTTAATTGCACTAAAGTACCTATAGTTGTATAC